GTAGCACGCTTAAAAATGTACCCCACACACTTCACCCTGAAGGTGATCTTTTCTATACAGTTTCCACTAATCCTGGAAACAGGGCTGACAAAAAGGACCCACTTTAATCCTGCTAACTCACCCTAGCTTCACTGCATTTCCCATAACCCTGCAGCAGTCACAATTCATTCTAATCACTTTACAAAACAATCTTTAGTAAAAAGAGGAAAAATGCAGACTTGTAAGCCAATTTAAGAAATAACTGCTGATACATCAGTTATTGACTATTTCACTCCTGCTCATGATAGTGCTCAAGGCAAAACCGAGAACAAAATGACAACATCAACCGCACGCAATAAACTGTGGCCCAGGAGAGCACTGAAGCCCTAATTGACAGCTGTCAAGCTAATGGGAGAAATGGCAGCTGATTCTGGAAAATTCTGTTTTCCAGGCGGATATTCAGGGGAATCTATCAAGCCTTTTTATATTTATGCCCCTTTTTCTTTTTTTTTTTTTTTTTTTTTTTTTTTTTTTTTTTTTTTTTTTTTTTTTGCTTTGTCCTTCACACTTTGCCGGGGAAAAAAAAAAAAAAAAGAAAAAGCAGAGGACAGCCATAACTAATCATTTTGTCAGCTTGCTGCTAGGAAGAATCTCTGCCCAACAGAGAAATATGTGGCAGGTTTGGAGGCAAATAACATACCAAGGGCTGACACTGCAAGTACCTTTATAGGTAGCCTAGTTTATCGCTACATTTACTTTTGGGGTATGTATGTAGTTGCAAGCAATTGCCATAAATTAAAGCGAGCGTTCGAGTTGCCGGAGTCAGAGCTGCCTGGAAATCTGGCGGCACAACCTGTGTGCCATCTTGCATCTGTTTGCTGTGCTGCACCCCCAGCCCCACGCTGGAGGGGCTGAGGGCTGACACGAGCACTCAAGTCCCTGGAAAGTGGAAGCGCTCCACACCTCTGGAGCATCAATTCCGTGGATTTCAGTGCTCGCACTGACCAGGTGCAGCTTTTGAATGCAAGCGCAGAAGTTGGGAAGAGCCTAAAGCATGCAGCAATCTCTAGGATTTAAAACATACTATGCAAAAAAGACCCCAACAAAACAAAACAAAAAACAACAAACCATAGGCCCAGGTTTGTTCGGTTTGTTTTTTTTTTTCCCAGAGCCTCGAAAACTCAGTGCAGTTGCCTGGGTCTTACTGTTTTATTAAATATATAAATAAATAAATAAGCAAACTAAATGTGATTCCAGCAAACCACTAGTTCCCATTCCCTCCTCAGAAGATATGTATACAAAATAAGTATTAAGTCGTTTCTGTCAGTAGGAAGTACATTTTCTTGATCTTTTAAATAGGTTTCTAAAAAAGCTGCAAGTGAAAGCTATAATTTAAGGATAGATAATTACTGTTTGCATGAACAAGACTGGCCTCTATTAATACAATATCTTAGCTTCCCCAGACAGTAGCCTTTTAACTGGTAAATACCTTCTTCCTCCTGACTTACATGACAGAAGTCTTTGGAGCAGCAATTCTGACTGTCTTCTTGCTTTAACAGGTGAGGAATAAAATTGCAATCCCCGCCTCTCCTTCCCAAATTTACCTACGATATTCAGCTGAGTCTCAAAGCAAACAAAGTGAAATTATCATTTTTACAGATTCTTGATTCTCAGAGACAGCTTTAGTCTTCCACAGTGTGGTGTTAACACTTGGGCTAGACATAAAGAATTTGTGCACCTGTCTGTTATGTCTGCGAGCTCTGTGCTGCTGAGAGTTCTTTGTTGTTGTTATTCTACTCCAGACCATTAAAAGGGTCCTAATTCCTATGACATGATTATCCAGGTACCAAAGCCCATTTGTCACCTGCAGCAGAAAATTGAGTTAATGCACAACTAAAGGCAACCAGGACTGTGTAATATCAACTTGATTACATCAAACTAGCTGCAAACCTAATTCTGCTGGATGACACTGCGTGGAGCTTGTCATCTCCAATCATTAAAGCTGTCAGGAATCCATCAGGTTTACAGCTAATTAGGTGAACACTAATGAAGCTGGCAAAACAACTTTTCTTTTTTTATGGCTGAGCGGACCTTTCAGTTTGGAGAAAAAAAATTCTCGAGTATTCTCAAGGTTGCTGGGGACTGGATTTCCTGAGTTACCAATCAGCAGACATCTTTAATTCTCCCCCCCCCACCACCTTTTTTTCTCTCTCAGTACCAAGCAATCAATTTGTCATCACTCTCAGTATGCCACAAAAGCAGCCATGAACCTTATAACTCGCAGCTCTCAAGCCAAAAAGGGGGGGAAAAAAAAGTAAGTTTCTTCTGTCTTAAAATAAAATGCCTCATACAGCTCACTTATTTATCTTCATGCACTTATCAACAGCATAAATGTTCTTGTTTTTTCACTCTTGTCAAATAAGTAGCCCTTCAGTCATTCTACATCCCCCATATCCATTAGGCAGAGGCATTTTGATAAAGTAAAGCCAAAGCTAGTGTATGGGAAAGAATGAAAGCACTCACTCTGCCAACTTCTGATTGACCATTAAGCTATTGATGAATGTGCCTGTCAGGAGAGAGACAATTAAATCAAATATGAAACAAAGTCGTTTTGACGGGTCATTTTGATAGAGCAAAACCATTCTTCCATCTCCTATTAGTCCTGCAGTCAAGTTTTTGTAATGAATATTTCTTAACTAACCTGTTATTTCTTAGCTGTTTTTTAAGGTGTTAAAAAAAAGCCTTTGCTTTTACTGCTATTAGAAAAAGTAACATTTCCAATGTGACCAATAAAAGCAGCATCTCAGTGGGAAGCAATTATACACAATACTAAATGTTTAATGTGGCTATCAAAAAGCTAAAAGTTTAAAGAGATTACACTTCTGCTAAATATGAAAGATAGATCACACATCATGGATGATTCACTTGAGAAAGGAGGGAGAGACAGAGAGTGGTGGAGGGAGAGGATACCTCAGAATGTGTATTTAGTGCAGAAACATTTTCTTCCAGTGTGTGGAGAGCCCAGTTTACAGCAGAGTCGAGTGTGTCAAACACATGGAAAAGCTAGATTTTGCAGAACTAAATTCACATTACATAATAGAATTTCCCAAGTATAGAGAAAAGTTCACCTCTGTCATTTTTCTTGAAAATTGTTATTTGATGGAACGGGCCAGAAAAGCAAAATATTATAATGAAGTATTTGGCTACGATATTGTTTGCTAGATGGTATCACTACCGTACTGAGAAACTTTCCAAACTTTCTGGCTGTTTGTGTGCAGGGTAAGGCTGCTGGGAAGTCTATTTCCCTATTTCAAAAGTACTGGCCAAACGCATGTGGATGTCAAAGAGAAGAAAGGAAACATGCACATTGCTATTTACAAATTGTGTCACTCCCCGAGCCCCTTGCTGTTTACTAAACCCAAACCACCCCACTCGGAGAAGTTGTCAGGCAGAGTGGGAGCACTGCTGAACGCCTGGGCTCCATCCCCAGGCTGCAGGACTACCTGCTCCAAGCTGTCCTGAGCACAACCCAGCCGCGCTGCCGGGGATGCTGCCTCTGCAAAACTTCCACCCCGGCCTCTCGGGGCTGCTGGGGCTGTCCCCCAGCAGAGCCCGTCCTGAGCCCCCCCCGGGCCAGCGCTGGCCCATGGCTGGCACCGCTCGCCAGGAGCCCCTCAAGCCGCGCTAACAGAGAGTTGACAGGCCACCTGTGACGTCACCGAGTCTGGCGTTACCATGGCAAGTGATTTATTGATGTTTATCGGGAATGAATAGATCAAAGGCTGCCAGATGACAGGCGATCAATCAGACATCAAATCAAGGATGGCAACAGGCCAAGGAAACCTTTTCCAGCCCACATATCCCCAACTAAGGATTACTGTAAAATTATGTGGGGCTTTTCTTTTACTGTTTTCTTTTCAATTTGGCTTTTCCAAAAAATACTGCTTAAGTTAAACAGGAGTTGACATTTCTGGCAAAAGGAAAACAAGCCAAACAAACAAAAAACCTCGCCAGCATAAAGCCTCGAAAAGTATTTCTAAAAAGGAAAAAAAAACCCAGTGGAAATTGTAAAGGCACTATCAGAAACATTCAGCAGTCACTTGACAATACACAGACCCTTTTTCTTTTTTTTTTTTTTTTTCCCTCCTTTGGTTTACTTTGCAGCTTCTCCTCTGGACTCATAAATAAGAAATCAATAGGATTAACAGAAGAGGCTACCAAAGAAAGTGACCAACTAGGAGAGTCTGTCTGTCCGGCAGAAACATCTCCAGTGCAGTACAAGGGCAGAAGAGAAAAAGGTAAAAGTTGGGCAAAGGAACCAGTTCTGAGCTTGGATCTTCAACTAACACTGCAGAGCCTCCAAATCACTTTGTCCCTGCCACTTCATTCACAGCATGCCATGTATTTATACATACCCTTTCTCTTTTTTTAATAGGAAAAAAGAAATAAATAAAAAGAGTATTTGCCCTGGCTTTCACAAACCATTTGCCTATGAGGGAAGGGGATGTAAAAGAACGAAGACTACGAGGGAGAGAAGCAAAGTAGGTGCCAAAGTACGGGCTGGAAATAATCAAAATTCGCCTCCTTGCTTCCCCCAACCCCGGAATGACACCGACCATACGAGCCCGAGCAGTGTGCCCGCACACACCCGCCTGCCCCTCGCACAGGGCTACCCCCAGAACCGAGCCGGGCGATGGCAGAGTTGGAATAAATCAAAGTGGGCACCTAAAGTGGGGAACGGGCTTTCATGCGCCCCCCCACCCCTCCCTACCCCAAAGAAAAAAAAAAAATAAATAAAATGCCCCCGAAAGCCCGCAGCCCCGGCGCTGTGCCTGCAGCCCGGGAGTTGCTCGGCAGAGCCCTCGGCAGCGGCGGGCAGCGGGGCAGCAGCGGGGCGCGGAGCGGCGGCGGAGCCCGCGGGAGCCGCTTATGAAAGAGACGGAGGGAAGCGAGAGGAAAAGCCAGCGGCCGCGGAGGGAAGGGAAGGGAAGGCAGGGAAGGAAGGGAAGCGGCTCTCGTACCTGCTGCGCGCCGGGGCGCTTGCTGCTTCCTCCTCGGCATGCTGGGCTCCTGCGGGCGCCGGCGGGGGGGGGCAGCCGGGGCGCGGGGGTGGGAAGAGTTGCCTCAGCCCCAGAGATCCGGTGAGCTGCTCCAGCCTCGGCGCGAGGGCTGGGTCGGGGATATATTTTTTGTTGCTGTGCATACACGATGCCGAGTAGGAGGAGGAGGCGGCGGCGGCGGAGGAGGAGGAGGCGGCACAGAGGAGAGGACAGCCCTGCTGCTGCTGCTGCTGCTGCTGGCAGAAGAGGGGGGAAGTTTGACAAATCGCCCCGGAGGAAGGAGGAGGGGAAGCCCCCCGAAGAGGTGTGCGGGCGGGAGGGCTGGGGAGAGCCCGCAGTCCCCCCCACCCCGCCCTGCGCCCCCGGTGCCTGGCCGGGCTGGGAGATCACGGCATAAAGACAGGGGATCGCTTGGCCGGAGCCGGCGGAGCCTCAGCCTGCGCTCTCCACTCCCGGCTCGGCGCTGGAGCGGCGGCGGCGGCGGCGGCAACAGGCGAAGCTTGAAGGGAAACGAGATGATCGCGGTGTCACTCAAACTGGTCCGCCGAGAGGGAGCGGGGCACCGCCGCCCGCCCCGGGCCGCGCCTTCACTCTGTGCGCATCGCCCGCCGGACCAGGCACGGGGGCGGGCAGGGGTCTGCCCCGCCGGCCGGGGCGAGCCCCTCGCCGCGCCTCCTCCGCCACCCAACTTCTCCCGCCGCCGGCGCCGCTCTCCCGAGCCGGCGGAGGGCTGGCCGGGCAGGGACAGGCAGGGCAGCCCGCCGGGCTCCGCGCCGCTCGCCCCGCTCCCCGCCGCAGCCCTTCCCTTTCCGCCCCCGCGCGCACCCGTTCCCCGCCGGAGTCCCCCGCAGCCATCGCCTCCCGCCGTGCCGGGGCACGGGACCCCCCCCCTTTCTCCGCCGCCCCCGCCCCCCCCCCGGCGAGGAGGGCCCGGCCCGCCGCTCCATCCCGGCCGCCCCGCGCGGTGACAGCAGCGGCGGCGGCAGCCCCGCTCCCCGCCGCGCCCCGCAGCGCTGCCCGCCCCGGCCGCACTCACCGGCCCCGCCGCCCGCCCGCCGGCACATCCAGCCCGCCGGCTCCCACCTGGCTGGCGCCGCGGCCGCCGCACTCCGCTCCGCGCCTGCGGGCGGGCGGTGTCGGGGCCGCCCCGGCCGGCGGCCGCTACCGGCGGCGCCCCCGCCAGCGGAGCCGCTGCTCCCGCCCCGCGGGGCCAGAGCGGCGGGGAGCGGGCAGCGCCCGCGCCCCACGCACCCGGCTCTTCGGGAAGGAGCACTTTTCCCTCGTTTTCCCTGTTTTGGGGATTGATCTCTCTCTCTCTCTCTCTCTCCCT